TTTTGGGTTTGGGCCGGCTGTGGTTGGAAGTGTGCTAGGTACGGTAAGATTCAGGCTTGTACAACGGGTCGAGATTGGTGCGTGGATCAAGGGTTTGAATAAATATATTATTTAACCCTAGGTCCCAGCGGGCAGGTTTAGTGCTGCACCCCGAACGAGATTTTTTCTCCATGGCCAGCTGCAAGCTGGAGCTCTGCTTCGATTGTCGTGCTGGCCGGACCAAGATACTTTGAGCAGGGATCCGGAGTACGTACTATTAGTATTTAACCCCAATATTCTGAAACACTGCCCAAAGGGTCCAAGTAATAGTACTCTATACTTTGGGGGGGCCCAAATACCTACTATAGTAAAGTACCTACCATAATAGTACTTGGACCCTTTGGGCTGGGATAGATGAAAAGTTGTGGGTTTGCGGTGGGCCCTAGTCTAATAATGGCTCTTGCAGTATTCAAATCCAGCCAGCTGCTAGCATGCAAGCACGTACGGGAACCAGGTAGCCCCTTATAAGCTAATTATATTATAAGCTTTATAAGCTAAGTTGCTAAGGGCTCGGATCTAGGGCCTACGGCTTCTAGATCTCATCCATCTCATCATTCTGCAAGTGGTCTGCCAGGAGCCTTGGATAGATAGTCTCAAAAAAAGCGCTCCAACTAGATATCCTCGATAGGCCGAGTAGCCACAGGTAGTACCGGTTCAGCGTCGATCGTTCCAGAGATCTTGCGTGAACTCGAGCGGCGATTCCTTGCAATTGGGTTTCAATTGATCAATCGAACTTGTGATGTGGGCTTTGGGGCACATATGTGGTAGGGTCCAATTGGACAGAGGCGCCCACCAGTCGCCCATTTGCATCTTCAGAGATGAATGTATGATAATATCGATAGTTCAATCCTTAGAGAGATGTGTGCAAGGAAACGGTGCCTTCACGGTATTTAGAATCATATAACTCTCAGAAACAGCCTAGTCCTGTAACCTGAAACTACCAAACCCTGTTGCTAATTGTCTAGCTTAAGGGTCAGAGTTTATAATTTATAATAGGGTACGAATATTATTACGTGGGGGGGTTCAAAGCAGCTTGGCGGCTCTCCGTGCTGGCAAAGAATGCCATCTCTTGCAGAGCCTGAGCTGCAACGTCAATCCCCTATAATCTATATTACACCCCAACCGTATATAGCTCCTGATCAATAATAAATAATAGGCAAGGGCACGTGAAGCTTGGGGCGAATAAGAAAGAAGCCAGTACCATCAGAGGCACCCTTTGCCGCCAGTGACAAATATGCTGCCATGGCAGCATCTGTGCATCGATTGATGCTCTGGATGCTCAAGCTCTCGAGGTACCGGGGGGATTGCTCAATGGTGTTCATGAGTTCACCCAGGAAATGCCTTGATGCACTGAAACTCAGACAAAAGCCCGGCTTAAAACCCTTGAAATCTTTTGCAGTTGTAATAGTGAATCCAGGCACATGCACTGGGCCAGCATTCTGAAGTCCTCCGTTTGGTAATCCTCATCCTCGATGAGACCAGTAACCACATCCGCCAGCCAAGCAGTGACAACCCGAGCCTCGCACAATATTGGAGCTGGAGCCCAAATGCCCTGCACAGCTGAGAACCCATAAAATCATCCAAGGCACGTTGTAGGCTTTGGCCTGCAGCTCGCAGTCCCCTTTGGCGTTCTTGAGGTTCTTCGGCTTGAACACAGGCTGTGAATGCCTGTAGGGTTGGGTTGGACGGATCATCAGGTTTAGTGTTCCTTGGGGTTTGGGCTTTAATTTAGGGTTGGGGGCTTCGGGTTTAGGGATCTCCAACTAATATTAATATTTACACCGCACAGCCGCACACGATGCGGTGAGATCTTGTCCAGCGGGTGAAGGCAGCATAGGCAGCTTTGAGCTTCTCAGGTTTCGAAGATCCAGGCCACACGTCCTTTATATGGGGATTCGGGATTTAATTTATGATTATTATTATATTAGACCACATACCAGGGAAATTACTGTCGGGTCCTGCTTCAGGAGAATCTCCATACAGCCGGCACAAGCCCAAACCAGCATGCCAAGATTAAGCGAATGCAAGCTGCACCATCGTAGCATACTGTGGTGGAATCCGGAGAGCTCCAAGATGAAACCTTGACATAGGGCGGTTGTCAACATACGAGCCTGAAGTACTGCCGAATTTTAAAAACATACCCAGCACAACCTTATAAGATAAGCCCTAGAGTGCAAGGCACTGTCTCGGCTTGCACAGTCCGTCACGAAGCTGTTGAGGGAACGTCTTGGAGCCGTATGCAATGCAGACGGCACACTCACATACTCATGCTGCGTAGCATAGCAGTGGTGGCAGATGAAGCTGCTGCTCCACCCGCACTGCATCGACATCATTTCCTCACGGCACAATATATAGTACATGTGGAACCACCCTACCCCGGCCTTCTAGATAGGATGCAGTACACTGCCTTCTGGAATTTCCAGTCACCGCGAAGTTCGCTCACCAGAAATCGGCAAACACTGCCGTTGTGAACCACCAAAGGCTGCTGCGACAGCGGCACATCCACCTCCGTGCTGCCATCGTCGCTGGTCAGCGGCGTACTCGGCCACATGCCCCGCATGGCCGCATTGAGGGATTGCACGACCTTAAGCTTGCGGTTTCGGGTTTGAGCTTTCGGGGTTGCTTCTGATTTAATATTCTTGCCGACAAGGTACGGGTTTCAGGTAGGCTTGGAGCGTTGCGTAGCCACAGCTGAGGGCCTGTCAGGAGGACCGATAGGGATTCTGTGGGTTAGCTATGTAGTTGTTGTAGGGCATAACCTTAAGGTGGGGTTGGTCTGGATCGACAGCCTCCCGAATCACAAATAATGGAAAGTGACTCTTCATGGAGTCCATCTTCTTCTCGGCCAATGTATAACCCAGATACATCACCGTGAGTTTCTCATTATTGCTGTGCTTGATGTCGTCACCATAAAGGAACATTGCCACCGGGAGCTGGGAATCCAAAGGGGCAGTGTTGCAAGGGTGGCTGGATGCCCAAGACGTGAAGTTCAGAAGGTGGCCCCAGTGCTTGCGGCAAGCGTCTTCATCTATCTCCTGCATGCCCTCGCTGTGCATGTAAGCGAGCAAATGATGAGGTAGGACTACAGGCATTGTCCTTGATAAGGAGAGCAGCCAGCCCCTAAGCCCGAAACCCCAAACCCAGACACCGGGTATGCCAGACTTATTAAACCCAAACCACAACAGTCTATAGAAGTTGGAGCACCTTTCCACCACAGTCCCATCCGTCATGGAGGTCTTCATCGGCACTCGAACGAAAGACATTGGAACCTCAGCTATAGTAGTAATATTTAGGCCTAGGCACATGCATGTGTGAGGACGGGGCCCCGAAAGCTTGAAAGCCACGTGTCGGAGCCCATTGTCCTCGTTGCTGCCCGTAGCATATCACGTTCCATGTTGGAAGGGTATTTGCCACCACAGCCGGCTCGACGAAGCTTGTCCCCCAGGAGGCCCAAATTTCCACCAGCAGCCTCTACCTCCTGGACCCAGAGTCAACCCTCAAGACTAGATTTTATAATGTATAGCACAAAAAGCTTACATATTATATCCATCTGTAAAACCCAATGATTAATTAACACCCACTAGCCCTGGCCCCATCCTTGTGTCCATGCCGCAGCATCGCTGCAGCTCCACAAAAGCTGAGGTCCTGGAGTTCGGAATGGAGAATGCAGCTTGATCTGGTTGGTGTTTGGGATTCAGGTTGGGGCTGGATTCTTGTTGGGTTCTATCTTTGGGCTTTAGGTTGGGGCTGGGGTTCTTTTGGGTTAAGTGGGGGCTTTAGGTTGGGGCTCGGGTTTTTTCTAGTTTTAAGTTTGGGTTTAGGTTAGAGCTGGGGTTCTTGTCGGTTTTAGGTTTGGGCTTTAGGTTGGGGCCGGGGTTCTTGTTGGTTATAGGTTTGGGCTTTATAGCTTAGAGCTGCGATTCGTTTTGGTTTTAGGCTTTGGCTTTAGGTTAGGGCTGGTTTTAAGGTCTGGCTTTAGGGCTTCGGTTTCAACCCCGAGTCCCCCTTCCCGGTGCACTTCAGCACATGACGAGAGAGCGGGCCCACATCAGGTTTTGCAGCACCTGCGTAGGGCAGCAACCGAGCACGATCTATGCTAAATGCTATATGTGTCAGGCATTGCAGTCGAAAGCTTTTCATTGATCAGCACTTCAGGAGCTCGAGAAGCCAGAGAGAGCTCTTTGTTCGAGAATCGAGAGCTTTGAAATGGCGACTGCACATTCAGCAATCGAGATGCGTATGCAGGTTCAGCCCACATTCGCAGGTCACAAAATGTGTCCAGTACAGCTACAGCACACCGCTGGCAAACAGCGAGTAAACCCACCCAATGAGCCTACTCTCAAGCTGACATGTCGCCGGGCTCTGGCTCGGTTGTCGGTTCACACATAAATTAGCTATTAAGCTAAAGTATACCTCGATGTTCATCATGCCTGGCAACAGCAAACTTGTGCACTCCAGCGGCCCTAGGCCTAGCTTTGCTGCACACCTGACCACATCTAGCACTATTCGCGCCAGAGATCAGCTAGCTACTTTGCTTTGCTCTTCCCCTTCGCTTTGCCTTTCGCTTTCGCTTTGGGCTCGGCTTTCGCCTTCGGCTCCGCCTGGGGTGGGTTCAGGGTCTAGAGCTTAGGGTTTTAATTTATTAGGACCGGCAACAGACCATCACTAGTGATGACAAGGTACGACCTTCTTCTTGATCATGGAAGCGGCATCCTGGTATGCCTTCATCGTTGCTGCCAGGGCCTCCAAGCAGGCCTGCTGCTTCTCAGGGGCCTCATCCAGATCATCAGCCTGGGATTGAAGCGTGTTTGGTTTCACCATAGGGGTATTTGATGTTGCACATCAAGGGTTGGGGTTCCGAGGATTCTATTTAAGATTTCGTGTATTTCGCTCGGGGTTGGGTTTTGGCTTTGTGGGGGCAAGCATTGATGGTATAACTCCAAAACCATACCGACTGCAGCCCACAAGTCCTTGACTCTAAACCCTTGCCAGAATCCCCGAACCCTAAGCTTTGCAATTGGGCCAAATTAATTATGGTAGAAGCCAGAAAGTTGGAACATTAGTATCCTCATGCCCTTAAGGTAAAGGATAAGGGGTCCTAGCACTAATCCTCCTAAACTCATGTTCCAACTTTCTGGCTTCTACTGTAAATGGAACAGACGAGAAACCCCTCAGCCTTGCAAACGTTATTACTAAAGCCCACCTTCGCCTGAATCACCCCCAAGTACCCACACCCGACAGCATGTAAGCTATCCGGAGCCTATCATTAAATGTATGTGATGCCAACCCCAACAGCTGCTGCACCTGCAGCGTCTCCAAAGCAGTGCTCAACGACGTGCGATGCAGCTCCAGCTCATCCAGGTAGCCCTTGCGTAAAGGCTCCGACCTCGCTGCTAGGATGGATTATATGTTACGATAGGAACGAACCATATCTAGTTGTTCCAAGATTCTGGTTCGAATCATGGGGTTTAAGTAGCAATCGGTATATTCCGCTCATCACACAAGACAAGTAGCATGTGTGCCGGCTTCTCGTCAAGCTGTCCCTTGAGCGACTCGAGCTCAGTCATCTTGTCGCCGACACCCTTGGTTTTAGTCTTGACGGTGCTCGCCCACCCACCTTTGCCAGCCTTTCGAAGTCGCTTGTATTCTTCCGCTTCCCTGGCGAGGTCTTCCGCCGAACCTCGCGACATCAATCCACTTGGTCTTGGCAAGGCCTGGGAGGCGGCTGATGCAGCCAGCGACTGGCCGCCACGAAGCTGCAAAGCCATCGGCCTGCATCAGGGTGTGGGCGTATGATTCTATAACTCAATTCATTAGTTGAGTAGATCAGTAATTAATTATATAATAGGCAAGGAGCAGCATCTGCCGGGTCTGCTGCCCATCCAGCTCCATCTCCTCCGTAGTCATAGTCGACTCTCTGGTATTCTTGTTGCTGGAGGTAATCGTGGCACTGTCCCAGACTCTGATCAGCTCGTGGTCCTGGGATCAAGCTTAGGGTCTAGGGGCTTCGGGTTTAGTTTAGGGGCTAGGCTCGTGACCCTTTTGCAATTGTTCGTACTAACGTAACATATGCAGCCCAGCTGCTTCGCTGCCTGGCAAATCTGGATGAGCCAGAATCCAAGGGAGGACGTCGGGATCAGGATTCTTGTCGAGCTCCTCTTGGAGCTTGCGTTTTTCGTCTCGGATGGCTTTCCCAGCCACGTTTCCATGTTTTTTGCGGACATCTTGGTACATCATGTATGCCTCCTCCATTTTGACCTCCTTCGAAGTGGTGGATCGGGCCGTGATTACCAAACTGGAAGATAACCAATCGCCGGAACACTTGAGATAATCAATGAAAAGATCTTCCTGCCGGCGGCCTCGCGTGAGTATCTGAATACTAGTATTGGCAAGATTAGAATTCGAAGCTAGCATATAGGTTTAAACCAATGCAAATATAAATCATTTATGCAGCTGCCTGCTTTCGCTTTGGTTGCAGCATCGATCACTTCCTGTGGGCAGGCCTTGCCTTGGCTATGTAGAAGCAGCGACTGTATTCCGGAGTAGTTTTCAGCTAATTAATTGCAATCGAAGGATCTTTTTGTGCTGCGAGTGAACTTCATGAACATGTTGTGTGCGACTCGCATAATGTGCTCCTCGTGCGACTCACCCTCTTTGCGTGTCAAGGTCGCTGCCTGCAAGCTAGTCTATTATCATTTCTTATTACGTATACTATTGTTATTATTGTTAGCGTTAGCACTACACTCCTAGAGCGGTTTAGCCTGCTAATAAAATCATCTTACCACCGCAGAATACAAATTGCAGATTCGGCCTGGATGTGAAAGCAGTGAGGATGTTGTAGGACTTCATCGATGTACCCCTCATTGATCGCCTTGTACACAGCACCGTGGGTTTTCTTTGCCACAGCAGCCGAACCATGGCCACCCAAGGACTCTGCTTCGATCACAGCCGCTGCGTGCAGCTGCTGCCGCTTGGCAATGTCGACCTGTCGGGTGGCTGTGCTATAGTACTATTTGCAGTTGGGGGTTCAAAAGACTTTCGGCAGTTGTGGCCTGGCTTGAGCTGCGGGAAACCACCTGGCTAGGCGTCTCTGCTGTCTGCTGGAGTTCCTGTGCATTATGCAGCATCGAAAGCATGTTTCTTTAGGGCAATGGGTTTTAGCAAGGGCTATCCAACCCCACCGTCCTGAGACGAGGCTGCCATGGGCGTCTGCTCCTGATCACAATGGGGCTCGGTCTCTTCAGTAATTGCTTTAGATATTGTACTTTCGTAAAAACAATTTGCAAGTAGGCGACCATTCCCAAACCCTAAACCCTAAACCCTAAATTTAAACCTTGAACTCTTAAAAACCTTCAGCCCGAAACCTCAAACCCTATCTATGACTGCACAGACAGAAATCCTGATCCGGTGGGGCTGTCTGCATCTCACGGCTGGGCTTCTGATCCTGGCCAAACTATTGTTTTGGATTTCAAGAGAATTCGAGGTTTAAGGTAGGTATACAAATAAACCCTAAACCTTGAACTCTGGAAAAACAACCCGAAACCTCAAACCCTATTGACCCCACAAATCGAATCCTGATCCACGGCTGTCTGCATCTCGCTGGGCTTCTGCTCCTGGCGGGCTATGGTTTCGGCTTCCTTTTTTCAGAGATCTGGGTTTGGTAGGTATCTATAAATAAAAACAATTTGAACCCCTATGGGCCCACAGCCCGAATCCTGATCCACGGCTGTTTGCATCTCGCTGGACTTATGCTCCTGGCGGCATATGGTTTCTGATTGCACAAGTTTGTGGGTTTTGCTCGGTACATAAATAGAAACCGTAAACCTTCAACTCATATCATCCCCAGCCCGAAACCTCGAACCGTATGGCCTGATCCACGGCTGTCTGCGTATCGAAGCTGGGCTTCTGCTCCTGGTCGGACTATGGTTTCGGATGTAGCAAGATCTACAGTTGTGGGTTTGACTGAATCCTGATCCAAGTCGGTTTGCGGGTTGGATACCCTAAACCTTAAGACCCTAAATCAATCTGGATACACAGGCTAGGGACGGGGATTTAGGTTTGCGGCTTTTGTGGAAAGCTCTGTCCTGGTCCAAGGACAAGGCTGAGGCAGCTGGTTGCAATCGGCCGGGGTTGTCGTCCTGGAAGCTTGGCAGGCATATAAAAGTGTAGGGTGCAGAGTTTATAACGTCTAGCTATATATATATGTAGGGTGTGTGGGGTGTTGAACAGTTGAATGAGGTTTAAATGGAACAAGTACAGAATGTATACAATGCTCCTTGTGACAGCAGTCAGCTTCAAGGGCTGCCTCCATCTCTTGCAACATGATCGCCTCATCGGTCAGATCCTGGTCGGCATCCATCATGATCTCGTCATGCTCCGGAATGGCCACCATGTGTTCCGCTCCAGACTTTGAAACATGTTTGTGCCAAACATCCAAGATCAAGTTGGATGCATCTTCCACTCGCGTGCAGACCTCTGCCTCCAGCTCGCCAAGTTTCACGTCCAGGGCGGAGTCTTTGGTAGATTGCCACACAGTCACTGCCCTGCAGCGACGATTCATTTCATCCTCTGTCAAGTGACCCTGCTCCAGCTGCTGCTTGAGCTTGAGGACCATGGCCTCCCCCTGCTTGTACACTGATGCTCGTTTCTCCTTTGTCTGGTCCGTTTCATACTTAAACTCTCGAAGCTTGGTCATTGTCTCATTGATCGCTGAAACCACAGGGGCAAGCAGATGCTGGGACTGGTATGGATTCAGGATTGTCCCTGCTGCCTGTGCAGCAGCAATAGCCTCGGTCAAATGTGCCACACCATCAGCCATGCTTCTGCCAAGAACCTGGCCCGCCCATTTCAGCACACTGGCGATTTTCGCCTCCTGTGTTGCATCCACTGCAACAGTGTCCTCGGTCTCCAGACCGAAGAAATGCTTGGCCAGCATCTCGACCATTCCAGTCAGCTCCGTGCCTGCTGCCACATGATCATCCAGCGGCGGCAAGCTCATGGTGGTCATAGTGTCAAGGCTTCGTAGAGCAGGTCCTTTGGGCGAACGTTGGGGCTGAGGTGCTAGGGTTCGGACTTTGGGACTGGTTTGCATCCCTCGGGTTTTAGGGTCTCGGGTTAGTGTGGCTGTTGCTTGGTAGAGTAATGCTTCCGTTGTTCAGCCATAGAGTCCATAGAGCTTTTGCTAGCACAGCAGGTCTTCAAGTGTAAAGGATATGGCCAACCGCCCGTGTTATGGATGTGGAGTTTAGTAGATAAGCCTCGAGATCAAACCACAACTATATATGTCATTAAAGTATTAATATCATGCACCCTCTAAAACCCTTCTGCCTGGCCTGGCAAGGATTCACTGGCGGCCACTGCAGCAGGAGCAGCCGCGGCGTCGGAGAGGCCACTGGCAGCTTCGGCAGCAGGATCCTGCTAATAGAGGGTACCCCGGTGTTGTATATAGCATAGCACTAGTACTATAAGATTGATTATGTCTAGACAAGGACGTTAGGGTACCAGGATTTTAAAGGTGAGTATGTCCTTCCCACGGAAAAGTCTATAAGATCGATTCTGTCTGCATTATGTTAGCTAATATGAAGGGTACCAGGAATTTAAAGTGTCCTTCTCAGCGAAAAGTGTCTTTGGCACGGCCTCCTGCAGTACCCTAGACCTCTTGAGTGCTGGGCTTCTGATTGGCGTGCTTTTTGGGGTGGGGCACTTCTGTGGGGTGGCTTGAGCTTGCGGCATCGCTGCATCTCGATCTGCTGTTGCTGTGGCCAACTTGCTTGGCGTCGCCTCGGCAACTGCGGCTGCTTTGGGCTTCTGTGGTGTTGCTTGCGGCATTGGCTCATCTGCAAGTGTCTCAGCCACTGGGAGATCATCTGCGGGAGCACTAGGTGCTGGGGCGGTTGCCTCGAACATCGGTGCATCTAGATTTGCTGTTGGGACCTCACCTGCAGGCTTAAGCTCTGGCTCGGTTGCTGGAGGAGCAGCTGTTGGGACCTCACCTGCAGGCTTAAGCTCTGGCACGGTTGCTTGAGGAGCGGCTGTTGGGACCTCACCTGCAGGCTTAAGCTCTGGCACAGTTGCTTGAGGAGCGGCTGTTGGGACCTCACCTGCAGGCTTAAGCTCTGGCCCGGTTGCTTGAGGAGCGGCTGTTGGGACCTCACCTGCAGGCTTAAGCTCTGGCACGGTTGCTTGGGAAGCGGCTGTTGGGACCTCACCTGCTGGCTTAAGCTTTGGCTCGGTTGCTTGAGGAGCGGCTGTTGGGACCTCACCTGCAGGCTTAAGCTCTGGCACGGTTGCTTGGGAAGCGGCTGTTGGGACCTCACCTGCTGGCTTAAGCTTTGGCTCGGTTGCTTGAGGAGCGGCTGTTGGGACCTCACCTGCAGGCTTAAGCTCTGGCTCGGTTGCTTGAGGAGTGGCTGTTGGGACTTCACCTGCAGGCATCAGCTCTGCCTTGGTTGCACGGGGAGTGGCTGTTGGGACCTCACCTGCAGGCATAAGCTTTGCTACGGGAGCGGCTGGGGCGGTCGCACAAACCGCTGCGGCTTGCATTGCCTTGGCCTTGGGAGGCACTTCCTCAACCTTCGCTTCGATCTTCGGCACCCGGAACTTCAACCCGGCATTACCTGGGATGTTGCAGGGCAGTGCATACATAGCTACAATGCAATATATGAGTTGTAACTACATATAGCAGCAGGTCTACCAATTGAGCCCACGACTGATGCGTGCACGTATGAATGTCTAGCAGTATATATGTATAGGGAAATTAAGCAGTAGATCCCTAGACCCTATCCAAGCTAGACAGTACACGTGACTCTTAGGAGCAAGTTGCTCTTAGCGGCTTTGGGTACAGCTGCAGGCGGCTTATGCATAGGCAACGACGTCATAGGCGGCGGTGCACTCACTGTAGGTTTCTTTGCAGCTGGAGCTCCAGGGGGGATCACATTCTGTTCTGGAGTCACCTTGGTCCTCAACCGGTGACGTGCATTCTGCCCCGCGGTGTACATAGTGTCACCAGTGCCTCCGGTTCCAGGACCTGAACAGATATAGCCGATATTATTCCAAGACCACAACTACACCCTCAAGCCCTTACATATATAATCTAATTAAACAAGCGGATCGTTGCATGCAAGACCACTGCCTGCAGGCACACCTGCTGCCTGGAGAGCTCGCTGCACTTCCTCCTGGATGCGTTTGGCCTTGGCTGTCGTCGATGCCTGGCCAGGGGAGGATCCGGAGCGGGAGCTAAGGGTTTAGGGTTTTAAGGCTTGGCTGGGGTTTAGGGTTTGGGGTCTGTAGATATATCTTTTGGCGAAATCAGCCTCTGAAGCCATGGCGGGCGGATACCGATATGTCTAAATGAAAGCGAGCGAATTGTCAGCAGGTGGACATGCTCTGTTTTGATGTTATTCTCGGCAATGCTTGAAAAGCTTAGAACTTAAAACCTGAGACACAAAGCCCAGTGTGCATGCCAGCTATGGAGCCACATGTTGGAATTCGCAAAGGGCCCGGTTCTCGGCTTCTGGCAATTGGGATATAGTTCTGAGGTTCTAGGGGTTTTTGATTGATCATGAAACCAGGACTACCGACCCCCCACCCCCCACACCCCCCACACCCCACACCCCCCACACCCCCCACACCCACACCCCGGCCCCACACCCCCCACAGCCCCCCACACCCCCCACGAAGAGCCTGACCCGAATAACGCCCACTAACGGCCAGTAACGCCCAATAACGCCCTACTTTGTCCCAGAGAGCACTTTTAACGCTCCGTCACGGCCCTCGCTGGCTACTATTATAACAGCGTAAAACCCCCAATAACGCCCAGTAACGGCCACTAACGCCCAATAACGCCTTACTTTGCCCCAGAGAGCACTTTTAACGCTCCGTCACGGTCCTCGCTGGGTACTATTATAGCAGCGGAAACCCCCAATAACGCCCAGTAACGGCCACTAACGCCCAATAACGCCCTACTTTGCCCCAGAGGCCACTTTTAACGCTCAGTCACGGCCCTGCCTCTCTGGGTATTACTATAGACCCCCAAATAGGTATAAGCCCAGCACTGTTCAAATATGTGATGGACAAGTACAGCAGTAGGCCTAGGGCTTCGCATACGATCGAGGACCCCAGCAATACTACTACGACTAGTGCTACTATAGTAGTAGTAGCTATACACCCCTCAACCCACAAACCCTCAAAGAAAGCATGTTGCATCCTGCTCAGGAATGGTGGCCAGAGATGACAGATGACGGCAACCAAGGCAACTCAATTTTAGCCTGCACTCACCCGGACTTCTGGTTCAGATCAAGCTTGATAAAGTTTAGCAGGGCGACAGCATATGGTCACTGCTGAGTGAATACGTACTGCAGTCCAATGAGAACCTTCCGGCTATGTGATCCTGCTATATAATAAGCTTGAGGGATTCTTCTCGAAAACACAACGGGTCGGGACTAGTGGGCAGTGGCTCAGCCGAGGCCATTGGGGGATCTTGTCATTTTGACAAGATCACCCAATGGCCTCGGCTAGGCTGGCTCAAGCGGTCCCGGGACCTTCGAGACAAGGGCACTTGGTGGTCGATCGAGGATGCTGCTCTTCCGATCCGTGGCGACCACAATACCTCAGGGGTCTATAGCAGTAGTACTAGTAGTAGTAGTAGTAGTAGTAGTAGTAGTAGTAGTAGTAGTACTAGTAGTAGTAGCAGTAGTAGTAGTAGTAGTAGTACTAGCACTAGTAGCACTAGTAGCACTCGTAGCACTAGTAGCACTAGTAGTATTAGCAGTACTAGTACAAGTACTAGTCGCACTCGTAGTATTAGTACTAGTACTAGTACTAGTACTAGTACCAGCACCAGCACCAGTACCAGTACCAGTACCAGTACCAGTAGCTAGTAGTAGTTACAAGTACTACTACTAGTGCCAGTACCAGTACCAGTACCAGTAGTCGTCGTATAGGTACAGTAGTAGTAGTAGTAGTAGTAGCAGCAGCAGTAGTAGTAGTAGTAGTAGTAGTTTTGTAGCAGTAGTAGTAGTAGGAGTAGTAGTAGTAGTAGCAGTAGCAGGAGTAGTAGTAGTAGTAGTACTACTACTAGTACTAGTACTAGTACTAGTACTAGTACTAGTCCTAGTAGCAGTAGTTAGTAGTAGTAGTAGTAGTAGTAGTAGTAGAAGTAGTAGTGGTAGTAGTATAAGAAGTAAGGGTATTATTATTATTATTATTAGTAGTAGTAGTAGTACGTAGTAGTACGTAGTAGTAGTAGTAGACGTAGTAGTAGTAGTACTAGTAGTCGTACTTAGACCCCCGAAATACCCGAAGTATGTCCCATAGTGATACTTGGACCCTGCTACTACTAGTACTACCACGACTACTACGACTACTAGGACTACTATACGACTACTAGTACTACTACTACTACTACGACGACGACTGGTCTACTACTACTACTACTACTACCACTACTACTACGACTCCGAGGATGTGGCATGGGCTTCGCAACGTTACTCTTCTGCAGTATTGGCCGCAAATAATAGTTTGTTTTGGGGGGGAGTGCATGTCGTCCTTTGAACCCGAGCCCTCGTTCGTTCGCCATACTACTACTACTACTACTACTACGACTACTACCACTACTTCGACTATTACCCAAGATCCTAAACCAACCCCACTACTACTACTACTACTAATAATAATAAGGATCTCGGCTCGCAACACTTTGCCCCGGGGGTGTGCTTTGTCTGTTCGGAACGTGTGGAGCTGCACTTAAGTCTACTTGGCATATTCGGCATTGTTAGCAGGGTCTTATAGCTGCAGGGTATGAAGTGGAGCCATGGACCCAATAAGATTTCCAGAGCTCGAAGCTGCGAAGACTCTGCACAACATAAACATATTCTTTATTTGGCTTTGTCGCACATGCTACCGCGTTGGAGAAAGCTTCCATATTCTGCTCAGCTCGACCTTTACAAGCTGTATCTGCGAGACTGGGAACACACCTCAGAGTTTGCTATCTGGGATAATATTTATCCT